TAGGATTGAGTTACTTGACACATGATTACTAATTCTTGTTGTTGTCTACTGCTGTTTCTTACGGATGCATGTTCTAAACAAAGCTGGCCCTGATGGGAAATGAACCAAGTTCTGAGAGCATTCTGTGGGACAAGAGCTTTGTTTCTAAACGGAAAAATATACACACTTGATCCCTAAGTCAACACAGGAATCAGTGCCACATGATGCAACTGCAGGGGACTGTCCCCACAGTGAGTCTGAAGCGCTGCCTGAAAGGGCCCAGGTTCCGCTCGCTGGACAACAGCCTGCTGACACTGACGGGTTTCAAGTTCTGCAAATTCTCTGTGGTCAAGGGTTGGCAAAGTGTTTGCAACAAATAGGGTAAACGCACAAATAAATTCATAAGACTTGAACAAAAAAACCCAAACATCAAACTAAACTTAAACTCTGTTAGAAAACAATATGAAAAACAAAAAGACATCTGATGTAGGAATATGAAAATATTAATCATCATCTAACATATTTACAATTAAATTAGAGGGAAAGCAAATTAACGTTGTATTTATTTACATAATTATGTTGAGGTCTGTACACTGTTGTTGAGTACCACTGAGTTGGAACCGATCCACAGCTGACCCTTTGGCAGGTTTTCAGAGACATTAAATCACACGAGAGGAGATTGTCCATCCCTCTCCTGCGAAGCAGCTGGTGGATTTCAATTGGGATCTTAATGATTTCGCAGAAAGCGGTAGCGTACAGGTCTATGAACTTTGGGTATGTAGACAGTCATTTAACAATACTGTGCTCAAGATCAAGACCCATCTCAGCTCCCAAAAGATTTTCTTTTTTTTCTTTTCGTTTTTTTTTCCAAAAGATTTTCATGACACATCCACACCCTCCCAGGAAACCAGTGTTCTGGCTTCTGTGGTCATTATCCCTTTTATGATGAATTTCCCTTGTAACAATAGAGCTACTGTCTTCCGAACAAATTGTCATTTCTTCTTAAGAGCAGTATTCAACTCATTGCTGTGAGTCAGAACTAATGCAGACCCTTCATTGACTTTCAAGGGCTGTACATTGTATGGGAGGAGACTGCCCATCTCTCTCCTTTGGAATTAATGGTGGATAACAGTGATAGATGCACAAGTTTTGGTTTAACAGCACAATTCCCTGTGGACTCTGCCATCAGAACTCCCAGTCAAAGCCAAAGTCATTGCTGTAGAGTCAGCCTTCTCTAGGCTACAATCCTCGCCAGAACTGATTGCCAGGTATTACTTTTCTCCAAACAGTCACTGAGTAGGTTTGAAACATCCAACTTCTGCAGGATCAGCTGGACACTTAACCTGTTGTGCCACCAGGGATCAGCACCTATTAGAGTTAATGATTTAAAAAAAAAGAAAACACCAAAAAAAAACCCTGATAATGTCAATTTCTGGAGAGGATGTAGACCATCAAGGACTTTCTTTCATTGTTGGAATGAAACGATCATGAACTATGCCAGAGTTCAACAATCTCCTGCAAAGTTTAAGGTAGCATATGATCCAGCAATCATTATCCTGAGTGTTTTTTCTCCTGATTTGAAAATATATATCACCCAAAAGCCAGTACACAAATGTTTACAGCACCTTTGCTCATAATTATCAAAAATACCTCTGAATAATCAAGATATCTTTCAGCAAGTGAGTGGATAAGCAAACTGTGACACATATATACAATGGACCATCGTGGTGTGGTAAAAAGATATATATGTCATTGACTATAAAAAGACTTGAAGAACTCTTACAAAATGAAATATGCTTGTCTGAGAAATTTATAAGCTATATGAGTTAACGGTAATCTGTTATTGTTATGTGCCATCAAGTCACCTATGATTCATAGCGACCCTATGAACAATGGCTCTGAACCTTGCCCATCCAGTGCTATCCTCACTGCCTCTGACTCATTTTAGCCCATTGTTATAGTAATTATCAATCCAATTAGTTGAGGATCTTCCTCTCTTAAACTGCTCTTTGTCCTTCCAAGTGTGATATCTTTCTCTAATGACTGGGCCTTCCTTACAACATGCCCAAAGTATGTGAGATGGGGTTTCACTATCCTTGCCTCCATGTAGCACTCTAGTTTCACTTTCTCCAGGACAGACATGTTTGTGTTCCAGACAGTCCTTGGAATATTCAATACTCTTCTCTAATATCTTAACTCAAAGGCATTGATTCTTCTTCTGAAAAAGTACAACTTCCTTTTACCTTTGAGTATAGATCTTTATTCATATCCTCATCCTGTTAGAACAGGGTAGAATTACCTCAGAGTATCTAAGGCTGCTCATCTTTCTAGAAATTAACTACTACAACTTTCTCCTGAAGAGTAGCTGGTTGAGTTCAAACTACCTACCTTTTGTTTGGAAGCCAAGTACTTTAACTACTCCACCACCAGGGTTTCTTGACAAAACTACAGAAACAGTGAAAAAGTATAAGAGGTTGATTGAGGGTGGGGAGCAGGGTAAACAGCTTCAGGAAGGTGGTTGTTTCAGAAGAAAGTACACGATCTGCGTTATACAGGTGACACAACCTTCAAATCATTGAAAACGTTAATCATTTCTCCATTTATCATGTTTTCCTATTGGTTCAGTTGCTGTTGTTATTGTGTGCTGTCAGGTCAGAACCGACCTCTAGCTGACCTTCTAGCAGGTTTTCAGAGGCAGTAACCAACATGGGAAGAGACTGATCATCCTCCCACGGAACAGCTGGTGGATCCGAACTGCTTTCCTCAGGGATTGCAACACAGCTTCTTACCACTAGGCCATCAGTAGTAAGGATTTTGGGGCTTTTTTATGTTGAGGTGGAATCTATCTTACATCTGTAGAAGCTGTGTAGTCTTTTGGTTATCTGCTTCAAATCTTTATTTTCTGCAAGCAAGGTTGTGTCATCACAAAACACAAGATACAATTGGTTGAGTCTACCTTCAATCCTGATACCCATTCGTCTTCATATAGTGGAGCTTCTCAAATGATTTGCTCAACATTCACATTGACAAGTTCCAGCAAAAGAATATAACCTTGACACATCTTGCTTGATCTTAAACCATATAGTGTTCCCTTGTTCTTTTCAGACAAGTGCTTCTTGGTCTAGGTATAGGTTTCACATAAGTAAAATTAAGTGTTCTGGGATTCCCAGTCTTCTCAGTGTAAGTCATTATTTGTTATGAGTCACTTAGTCAAATGTCTTTGCATAATCAATAAAACACAAAGGAACATCATTATGTTATTCTCTCCTTTCAGCCAAGATCCATCTGGTATCAGGAATGATATAACTTGTTCCAAGGCCTCATCTGAATCTAGTTTTAATTTCTGGCAGTTCCTTGTCAACTTACTTTTCCAATAATTTTTTAAGAACCTTCAGAAAATTATAATCATCATAATAATAATCTTTAGCAAGATTTCACTTACATGTAGTATTAATTATATTGTTTGATCATTTCCACATTTTGTTAGGTCACCTTTATGGGGAATGGGAACAAATATGATCTCTTCTGGTCAAATAACCAGGTATCTGTCTTCCAAACTTCTAGGCATGGGTTGGTGAGCACATACAGGGCTGCATCTATTTGTTGAAGCATGCCAGTTGGTATCCATCCCTTCCTGGGGTCTTAACTTTTTGTCGATGCCTTTAGGTTCATATCGGCAGTGAGAAGTCATGGTGATGGCATATCTTGAATTCTTTTGTTAGGTGCTGTTGAGTCGAGTATAATGCCTAGTTACCCTATAAACAATAGATCTGAATCCTGTTCTATCCTGGGCCATCTTCACAATCTCTGATGTACTGGAACCCTTTCCTGCAGTCACAGTGGCAACACAGTAACCTGGTTGAGGGTTTTCCTCTCATTAATTGATCCTCCACCTTTCCAAGCATCTTGAATAGTGAAAGAATTTGTCAGAATTGAGAAGGTCAGTGGTTCAAAAGCCTCGTCCTCCTTCACTATATCAAAAACAGAGAGCTCTGAGGCTTTGTTTCAGGTAGGCTCACCTTGACTTGTACAAAAATATTAGCCCTCCCCATATGATTTGTGCAATTGTGGAGTGATGTTTCATTGTGCTGCTGGCCAAAAGTATTGAATAACCCATAGATTGTGAAAAGAACAAACAAATCTTCCTTGAAAGAAGTGAACCAGGTACTCCTTAAAGACAAGGACAGTGAAGTTTCATGTCGTTTACTTTGGGTAAATGTGTTCAGGAGATGCCAGTCCTTAGAAAAAGACATTGTGCTTGGAACAGTAGATGGTCAATTAAAGAGGGGAAGACCTTCAACGAGGTGGATCATGACAGCAACAGTGGGCTTGACGATGGTGGCAACCGTGAGGATGGTCCAGGATAGCACAAGGCTTGGATCTGCTCTTCATATGGTTGCTATTAGTCAGCAGCATCTAACAACAACAACATACAACTTCATTTGTAAGAAACTCTGACTACATGTAATGCTAAGAACACCGTGAGTCCAGGAAATGCTGACCAGTTCTGGTCACCCATATCCCTAAATAAGCTCCCAGAACATTCAGACTTGACAATTTGCTATCTCGCTATTCAGCCAAGGAGCTACCTGTGGTTTAGAGATGCAATGACATGAGTTTGAGAACAAGCCCAAGCAAAGACCAAGAGCCCCACCCTTGACCTCTTGTCTTGGTTCATGGGGAATCACAGATCCTTGCTTCTCTTCACTCTAGTATAACTCTTCTTTTCCTATGGAACATTTTCCATTTCAAATAAATCAGACCCTCCAATAATCCAATAATAGTGGAATGAGATCACTTCCTACATTTAGCTAGACATAGCCAACTCTCCTCCCTTCCCTGCTCCACACAGCATCTGGAAAACACCGTAAGTTCTTACTTCATCCTTCCCAGACCATGTCACTGCCAAAGCCTCAGGTTTCTATAAAAGAAAGAGATCCACAAAAGATCTGTCCACAAGGCTGAGACCAACCCAGCTGCTGCCAAATCTCACTCTGAAGTTTGCCTTCTCACCCTCCAGTATGAAGATCTTTACAGTGATTCTGTCCCTGCTGCTCCTAATCATCGCCTGTAGCTTCCAGGTGCTGCTGGCTCAGCCAGGTAAAATCTTTGCCTAAGTGAGACTTAATGTTTTAGCTCCTGCATAACTAATACCCAGCATAAGTCAACCAATGCTGGTGGCAAAGCTCGAATTTTAAAGTGGGGAAAATGAGACCCAGAGAGGAATTAAGATGGATAGCAATGTCACAGCTACCCAGTTAGCCAGAGGCAGCTAGATGTCAGCCACTGTGTGTCATCTCCAAGAGCTAACTCGGCACTAGCTTTGAGAAGAGACACTCAGTGCAGAGAGCCTCTCATGTTTTTGAAGGACATCTCAGGCAATCTACAGCAAAGATTCAAATATTGGATCATGTCCAATGAGTGTCTGGAAATGGCAGTTGTATAAGAGGAACAAAGGCCCAGAGGGATCTAAGCATATGACATAGGTTGACTTGAAAGCCCAGGACGGGAGGGGGGGAAGGAAATGGCAGTGAAGTAAGTTCCTTGAATTTACTTTCCTAGTGTCAGAAAATTTGAGTTAGTGGACACTGTTGTTAGTTGCCATCTCGTTAATTTCGACTCATGGTGAAGTCCTGTTTGCAAAACAGAATTGCTTCATTGAAGTTTTTAAGATCATAATCTTCTACTTGACTCTCCCAATGATGCTGCATGGGCTTGCCTATTGGGATCTTTCACACCAAGTCAACAAGGCTGGCTGCCATGTTTTAATGGGGCAAATTGATTCAGAGGTAACATTTCCTTTCTAGAGTGTGAATTAAGGCCCTGAACCAGGTACAATCTCATTTTTGTTTTTTGCTTTGTTTTCTCCTACAGTCTCCTTACCAAGCTGTATTTTTTTACCTTGTACTAACTGTCTCCTTCATTGCATTTTCTAGCTGCAGTTTCTGTTCCGAGCACTTGCTGCGTTAGAATGCTCAACAGGAAGATCTCTGTGAAGAAGTTGGTGAGCTACACAAAAATCACAAACAAACAATGTCTCCGGGAAGCTGTGATGTAAGTAGTCTAAGCCAAATTTCCTCAGACAGGAGTTCTGTTTCAGAAAGGGGAAAGGAGAGGGGAAGGAAGTGAGGGTTCATGTCTAAAGGAGTCCAATAAATAAGCCATCTAACTCAAAGGGCCTTTTTAAGTCTGTGGAGACATTGAACTCATGGCGGGGCTGGGGAAGTCCATTCTCCCTCTAGACAACTCCTTGGGAAACTTGGTCAGATGGTCCCCATCCTCCAGCTAAAAGCAGGAAGGGCTTTACCTGAAATGCCAGGAGCAGAGCTCCTGATGGGAGGTCATTCTCTTCTCTTGTGCCCAAGTCAGTTTCCTCATTCAGGGAAGAGGAACAGAGTAGGTAGGTGTGAGTAGATAGAGAGTTCTCAGGCCAAAGTTCTAGACAGAACCCTCAAAACACTCTGCCCAACTGTGCACTCTCTCCCCTACAGATTTAAAATGAAACAGGGCAAAGAGATCTGTACGGACCCCAACAAGAAGTGGGTACAGAATTCCATGAAGCATCTGGATCAAAAGTCCCAAACCTCAAAGCTTTCAACGGTCACACCTGCACTAAAAGACCGAGTCTGAGTATAACACTATTTCATTTCCCCCTAACTGTCCCCAGATTTGGAAGAATGTTATTTTCTTTTAATGTCCAGAAGGAGGTGTTTCTGTCCAATAATTTAAGGCAATTGATATTTAATTATATTCAAGTTGCTTACGTTCTGACTTTATTTTCCATAAGTTCTGATGTGTTGCTAAATTTGAAGCCCTGGGCCACATGTTTTCTTTTCTATAAGCTCAAGTGAACATGGCAGTATGTCATTGTCCTATCCTCTGCCTGCCTGTAGGGTTATGTAGGTCCTTCCATGGACCATCTATGTAAAAGACAATGTTCCTGTGTGTTAAAGGTCTATTTTGCTGCTAAAATTGTTATTATGTGACAACAGCATTGTGAAAGAAGAAATACACATATGTATTATTTGAAACTTCTTATTCGTATTTTTTTTTTTTGTGGAGGAACAACATTTAACTGGAAGAAAGAAATTGGCAGCCATGGATGACAGTGCCGAGTCTATGTCATAACAGGAAGAATAGCTAGATGGTCGGTGGGAGCGTAACTCAGTGATTTAGTTCTAAGGTATTCTCTGCCAAGGCAAAGATACGTGGTTTGAACCCACCAGCTGTTCTACAAGAGAAGGATGGTCAATCTTCTCCTGTGTAATTTACATACTGTCTCTGAAAACCTGGGGGAAGAGTCAGCTAAGGGTTGGTTCTAAGTTGACCATACACACAAACACAAAAACAACAATGCATCAATGAATAGATATACTAAAGAAAGCTAAGGGTCTTGAATTAGAGAAGATTCCATATAAAAAATGTGAAGAATGAAAGACTAAAAGAAACTGTTGTGTTGGACTGGACTAGGAGGTATTAGTATGATTTCCTGGCTTAAAGATAGATGAAGTAAAATGGAAACACACACACACACACACACACACACACACGCACTTAGGTCCTGTCAATTAAAAGCCTAGTAACAAAGACACACTAGTGCTAATGTGCCACAAGAGTACGCAGACACACAAAAAAAATGATGGACACAAGTGTCAAATCTGGGGGTGGATAATTTAGTCATCAAAATAGGTGGTTTCCCCCAAAAAAAAGTTTGCAGTGTATTTTAGCTTTTTAAGTAAATTCAAAGAAGAGAAAGCTCTAACTTCCAGAAAAATGCTAATCAAAAATATCTAGAAGGAATGATGGAGCTTGAGTATCACTATTCAGAAACCTGTAGTTTAAAAATTTATGCAGGCAAGAGTAGTCTGTGGATGCTAAAATCAGCGGGTGAAACATTGTTTACAAGTAGGATATTTACACAGCCACAAAGTATTGTCCCCTAATAGAATTAATAATATTTATTGTCATAGATTAAATTCTGTCTCCTTGGAGCCTCATATGCAATAGAACAAAATCCTGCTCCAGTCCTGTACCTATCTGAGGAAAAGGTTCATGCCCTTAGAGAAGTTAAAAAGTCCCAAGTCCACAAGTCAGAAGTTAAGCTAGAAGCTTCTCCTGACTCATGTAGCTGCAGGAACTGATGAACTCATGATTGGCAAGTCAGACGATATGACAGGACACTGGCTCAAGTCCAAAGATCACATGATACTAGATGCAGGATCCAGTTAGAGCAAAAGGCATAAGAGCTTTGTCAGATTTCTCTCTCTCCTTCACTCTTTCTTTCTTATTGTCTCTGTGTGTATGTGTGTGACTGTGGGTCTGATGGTTCGAAACTTACCAGCAAGATAAATAATCTCTTGTCCTGCTGGAGCCTAATTCTGTGGAGGGTCATTTAGGAGCCAGAATCAACCCAACAGCAAATCTATATGTATCCAAGCTCCTATTGTCATCAAATCAGAACTAACTCTCTCTCTCTCTCTCTCTCTCTCTCTCTCTCTCTC